TGGATTTTAAGTAAAAGCCATCATTGCTGAGCCATCACCTTGTTTCCTTCCCACCCCCACCTGCTGTGTTCTCCTGACAACTCAAGTCACCAACTCCCCAAACACCCACAGGGCCTAGCTGACTGTGTCACTCTGGGTGTCATGGAGGGGCCGAGCCGGAGGGCAGCCCCCACAAGCAGGCCTCCCAGGGACCCCGATGAACATGGGAGGACATGAGACACACCCGGACGGGATGCGTTTCTGAGGCAGCGCAGTGCCAGCGGGTCATGAGGGGACAGCAGATCCTTAACAAAGGGCAGCCAGGACACGGGCCCCCAGGATGGGACTGGTGGGGGCCTCGCGGGGACAGTCAGGACATGTGCCCCCGGGATGGGACTGCTGGGGGCCTCGCGGGGACAGTCAGGACACGGGCCCTCGGGATGGGGCTCCTGGGGGCCTCGCGGGGACAGTCAGGACATGGGCCCCCGGGATGGGGCTGGTGGGGGCCTCGCGGGCTGGGAGATTTCACCTTTCAGGCGAGAAGATGGGGTCGTGCGGAGGACGAGGGTCCCCCAGCGTGGGATGTGCTGACCAGGAGGCCACGGGACACCCTGCCTGAACACCCAGCACTTCCGGTCGTCCACCGCTGGGACCGGTCCCGTGAGGGCTCCACACACCAGGGCAGGAGGGGAAGGTGAAGGGTGTGGCAGGAAGTCAGGGCAACAGGCCTCAGACGCAGAGCTGAGCAGAGCCAAACCGCCTCGCAGTCCCCCCAGGGCGTAATTAACGTGGTTTCACTTCCCAGCGGACATGCAGGCCGCACCTTGGTGTTGCAGACATGAATGTTACTTGGTTCCGGAACCTCTGGTTGGTTTTAACATTCCTTGTTTTTTACGTTTTTTACAGCAATTGCCCAGGGAGAGGGAAGCGGTGGCTTCCCCGCATTTGGCTCCTTCCTTCCGTGTGGCTCAGAAATGGCTGCTCAAACCCCAGGGTAAGCTGCGGTCGAGTTAGAGCCAAGTGTTTGGACGACACGCCGGTAAGGGACAGAGATCCAGTGTCACAGGCTTCAGAGCTGGGACTTGGGCAGCTACCGAGTCCAGTCACAGCGGGAGCCCGGGGCACCTGTTGCCACTATCGGTGCTGCAAGTGACCGACACCCAACGTAAGGGCAGCTTGTAGACTGTATGACTGGAAAGGGGGGACATTCTGGCTTCCAGCCGCTGGGTCTCTGGCCGAAACTCTGGCGCCATGTCGCCGGTGCCCGGAGCTGGGCACCTTCGGCTCCACTGAGGCCCACGTGGTCTGGTGGCACCACTGTCCACTCCCTCCACGCAGGGACAGTGAAGAGCGTCTCCCCTCTGCTCGCTTGAGCAGAAGTTGAGGGACGTCTCAGAAGCCCCTGTGACAGGCTCCTTGCTCCTGGCAACCCCTGTGGCTGTGGGGGGGCAGCCTGCCATGTGGCGCCCACCACCGGGACCCTCCACTGTCCCCCCAGACCCTCTCAATGCAAACTCTGGGTTCAGTTGCAGCTAGGACACACTGAACCCACAAAGTGTTTAAAACAACACAGGGGGTTCCTACTGGGGCTGGCATAACATTTAAACACTAATTATCTTCATTTTGGGTCACTTCATCCCGCCTTCTCCTCCCCACCTTACAAGCCAGGGGAAGGAGGGAACCATGGCCTGGAGAGGTCCCCTGGCCCCCCGGATGGCCTCGGCTAGTTGTCCTGGGCCCCGTGGACACACAGGAGCACCCACCCGGCACACCTGGGCCCGTGGAGCCTGTGGCCACTTGGTCCTGTCTAAGCTGAACTTTGTGCCAGCTCTGACACTCTGCAAAGTGAGGTAGTAAAGCACCCTGTCTCGTGTGAGGGTGCCCATGGGCCCAGCAAATACACAGCTGGCATCCCAGGGACCCAAGGAGCCTCAAATGTCATCAAGGCGCAGGTACAGAGACCAAAATACTCCAGCCAGAAAGCCTGGTGTTTTTATATACGAAACTGCCATTGCATCTGGAATCAGAGCATCCAGGCTGGTGAGACCCATCAATGTGACGGTCTGTGCTGTGTCCTCTTCTCAGCTCCTGTCTCGTCTCTGATGTGAGCAGCCGTCTCTAAAGCTGAGAAGAGAGGGAGGCCAAGAACGAACGTGTCCACGTCCGGATGACATCACACGTCCAGGATGCAAAGCCACCCAGAGCTGGACGCTGCCCACCTTGGCCCCCTGGGGCTCCCGGTCGGCCCGGAGGGCAGGAGCTGTGCACACGCGACAGAGGCAAGCACTGAAGCGGCGATGAGCCAGGTAACGCCCTCAAGGGCACCACCCTGTGCGGCCACCGCCGCGGCCCAGGGGAGAAGGGCTGGCCGGCCGGGGCACAGCCGGAGCAGAGCACGGCGTCTGTGGGGCAGAGAGAGGTCCGCTTCAGCCACAGCCCTTCTGCCCGGCACACAGTAGGTGCTCATCCAACACCACTAAGCGAATGAGCAGGACCTCCAGGGCAGAGACCCGGGAGGATGGGCAGACTGTCCACTCAGCCTCCCCGAGGCCCCCTGGCTTCCCGTCTCGGGGTGAGCCTGGGCGCTGCCTCCTCACCCCCAGGCTGCCCACCCCACCTCTCTGCGCCCACCACCCCGATGGCTGCATCTCTGGCCTTTGAAGCTGAGGTGGGGGCCCTGCAGGCCCCGGGGGGCTCTGCCTTCAAAGGCCCGCACCCGGGATTTCCCAGGAGTGAGAGGCCCAGAGGCAGGGGAGCGCTGCCGGGGAACTCCAGGGAGCCGCGCGGCCCTGAGTGGGGGTTCCCCGGCACAGCGAGGCTTCCTCAGCCACTAGGGGCCGGCCAGCCGGCCGAGGCCCCGCACTAGGCCAGGGCCACAGAGATGCCCCAAGGAGGTGCCGCCCGAGGCGAGGTGTGAAGACCGGCGGGCCCCTCCCGCCTCACTTGGGTCATGTAATCATTCATTCATTCATTCATTCACTCACTGAGCAGACCCCCCCTTCCGGCCCTGGCCACCCGAGCCCCCTGACAGCTTCCTCTCCAGACCGTCACTCCAGCTCTCATCCGCCTGCGGCCGCGTCACTTTCCAGACTCAGTCTCTGTCCAGGGCCCCCCGGGCTCCCGTTCCCCAGGCCCTGCGAGCCTTCCGGAGTGGGTCACCTGCGCTGTCCCAGGTGCAGCCCCACCTGCCTGGGGTCCGGCCGTGGCTTCGCCTTTCTCCTCAGCTGCCTTCAGTGAGCCGAGGGTCCCCGCCATCTGCGGGGTCAGCGCCCTGGCAGGGTTCCCTCCGCTGAGCAGTGCGGGCGGCTGTCAGGCAGCCCTGGGCCAGGGGCTCAGAGGGGCACCGGGTGACCCCTGGGGGTGCTGGGCTCACAGGTCCAGGGGACAGACCCGTGCAGCTCTGAAATTGTGCGGGCCTTGCAGACTGGGAAAGAAGGTGGTCACCTTTAATGAGCAGTGTCCTCTCTCCTCTGAAATTCCCAGGAACTCGGCCGTCAGATAGTAACTGGAACCTTCTGCTCACAGCCGGTGGATGGTACACAGCACCTGGAAACGGAAGGCCTGGCTTCTAGCCTGCGCTGCTCTCACCGCCGCGCACACGTCTGCGGGAAGGGGTGTCTGCACAGGGCCTTGTGTCCACCGGGCTGTCAGCAGGAGCCCTGGAAGAAAATGGTTTTGAAAAACTGGAAGGGTAACAAAAAATAAATAAAAACAACCCTGGAAGGGCAGTGCTGAGACAGGGGTGTCCAGTGGCAATGAATGACATATTATGTGGCCACAGGGAGCAGTGTTCATTTAACATTTAAAAAATTAAAACCCCAGTGTTGGGAAGGATGGGAGAAGTAGGTGCCATCACACGCTGCCGACAGAAGTGAAAACCATCATCCACACCCTGGACGCCAGCTGACAACACAAATACTTAAAATGTCCGCTTGCAGCAGCTCGACAATCCCACCTGGAGGAACTTGTCCAGGGAGCCTAGAGAACAGTCACGGTTACGATGACAAAGCTGGTCACGGCAGCACCGTCCACAACAGTCACGGAGACACCTTCTAATAAGCCCCGGCGGGAAACTGGTGGGTGACTTACCACACAGGCGGCGAGGGGACACTGAGGACTTAAGATGACCGAGAGCACTTGATAATATGAAAAATGTAAGTCATAAAACAAAGTTAAAAGATGATCTCGTTACAAATAAAATTCCTATCATGTGTATAAGCCAAAATAAAGATGAAAACTGTTAAAAGCATGTTCTTTAGTCATGGGTTGTGGGTTGATTTGATTCTTGTTTGATTGCTGTAATTTGAATTTAATTTTCTAACTTTTCTATAGTGAAACTGTTTGACTTTTATCCATCCTTCATCTATCCATCCACCCATCCATCCATCCATACCATAAATCTGCAATGTGGGGGGATGTTGGTCAGGGGTACAAAGCTTTAGTTATGAAGACGGGTAAGTTCTGGGATCTAATGTACATTGGTGTGGCTAGAGTGAAAATACTGTGCTGTGCACCTGAAATCTGCTAAGAGGGTCAAGCTTAATTGTTGCTACCACAGAAAAGAAAAAGAAGAAAGTGGTAACTAACCGAGGTGAGGGATGTGTTAATTAGCCTGATTGTGGTGAATATTCCACAGTGTCTCCATATATCAAGTCATCAACTTAGGCACCTTAAAGATATACAATTTTAACTGTCAATTATACCTCAATAAAGCTGGAAAAATAACAACTTCCCGCTATGTCCAGCCACTGGGATTTCGAGGGCCACGTTCTTTACAGCAGCTAGTTACAGCTGGTTAGTGGTATTCTAACCAGTAGCACGGTCAGCAGTCCGCACACGACCAGCTCCCAGAGCAGCTGGCCCTCTGCACTTCATCCAGATTGAAGACCCCAATTCGCAGGCATCGCCGTGAGTCCAAGGGTGAGCTCTCACGTCCACCCAGCTGGCTGAAGTGTGGCTGGGACCAGTAACCAGCGAAACTGCTGGCCTGGAAACGGGACACAGGAGCCATAAATCAGGGGCTAATTACGGCCGTTGCGGAGAGCTTCCTGGGAAAGCCCGGGGCCTGCCCGCCTCACACCCCCTGGGCATCGCGTCCCTGTCCCTGCAGGCCCCGCCTCTCACCCACAAGGCTATTATCTGAATCATGGAGAGAGGACTTGGAGTTTCCTTGAAATATAAATGAACGTGTCCCATCTAATTGTCAAATGCAAGAGCGGCCCAACCCTTTTCTCAAAACCACTGATAATCCACGGGAGAAAGGCTGCCTGCCCTGTTCATTCCGACCTCACCGGTGATGAGAGCAACAGCCTGGGCGAAGGACGGAGATGTTAGGACCAAGCTGCGTGTGCAGGTCAGCGGTCACACCAGGCATCCTGGGCGGGGGGCGGGGGCAGGCAGCGGCCGCACTCTTAGGGCCGGCTTTCCGATTTCATGTCCAGCCTGCCAATAAGACCAAAAGTTACACTGAGCATAACAGAGCCTTTGATCAAGTGCTCGCTGTGTGCCAAGCGCACACACCATTTCCTGTGTGTGGCCTACAGACCCTCATGGCTGTCGGCGCTCGCATCTCATGGGTGCAGGCCTGGCACGTGGCGCCCTGGAGGTGAGGTCTGGGGAGCAACCGGGAGGCTGAGGGGCCGCGCGGCGCTGATGGGGCTGCTCCGCCACCGGCTACCTGATCCTCTGAGTTTCCTGAGAGGTGGGCCCCCATCCCCATCTAAGAAAGAGGAAGCTGAGGAAGGGGCTCAGTGACGTCAGCCACAGGTTACACAGCTCATGAGAGCTGCGGTGTGTCCCTGCACCACCCGACTCTGTTAAGCGTAACCGCGAGTCTCCTGGGATTACAACCACAGAAAGGAGTCATCTCCCAGGTCTGGAGGCCGGAAGTCCAAACTCAAGGAGTCTCAGGGCCGCGCGCCCGCTCCCGGCTCCTAGACGGACCCTCTGCCTCTCCCAGCTCCTTGGTGTCCCGTGGCTTGTGGACACGTCACCCGATCTCTGCCTCCACCCTCACGTGGGCTTCTTCCGTGTGTCTGTTCACACTGCCTCCCCTCTCCATGTCTGTGTCTCTGTGTCTCTTCTTACAAGGACACCAGTCGTACTGGATCGGGGCCACCCTGCTCCAGCCAGCATGACCTCACCTTAATGACATCGGAAACGACCCTATTTCCACATAAAGTCACAGTCACAGATACGGGGTGATGTCTTTTGGGGGGACACAATTCAATCCACCACAGTCCCTGAGCAGAACTTCGATCAACCAAGCAGGAGACTGTGGGGTCCCATCACAAAGAGCAGAGAAAGAAAACCCAGCTCGGGCAACTGGCGTGTCCGGCGGGAGACAGTCCCTGGGGACAAGGCGACTCGGCCACTGAGGCACAGAGGACGGAGCCAGGCTGTGGAGGAAAGACGGGAGGGCGGCGGGCTCTGGGGACCGGGCAGGACACGGAAGCAGGTCCACCCAGGGCCGCTGGAGACGCTGACCCAGCTGGACGGGGCGCTGGCACCTGTGCGGCGGCTGGGACAGAAGCCCCGGCCCGGCCGCCGCCACTGCGGGCGATGCAGCCCGGCTGGCAGAGCCCGGGAGGAGCGAGGCTGCCAGGCCAGTCCACAAGCGCGGGCTCTGTGGGGCCAAGAGCCGCCTCATGTACGCGCAGTAAGAGCAAAGGAACCGCCGCAGCCACCCTGCCGCAGCCACTTGACGGACGATTACAGAGCCCTGACGCCCGTTAAAGCCCCGGCACCGGGGCAGGGAAGGCGGCGGCTCCAGAGTCAAGGAGGCTGGAAGTAAACCCCCACATTTAACGGGGTGGTTCTGAGACTGGGGTGACGTCTCCCCTCCGTTTCTCTTCCCTCCCAAATCGATTTGAATGGATGTTGTGTCATGATACGACAGACTTTAAATTCCTCAGTGAAGGGGGACGACGGGACGGTAGGAAGTTCTCCCTCAAATAAGCAGACGCCCCCTTTTCTTCAGCTCTTATTGGTCATCTCTCAAAAACGGTGCCTGTGCTTCCCGCACAGGAACCCAGCACCTCTGGGCGTGCGGGGGGCTTGGCAGACACGTCCCCGCTCCCGCGCGTCGCGACGAGGCCGTGGGCTGCTCGGAGGGCGCTCTGGCTGCAGAGCACGGACGTGGGCCCCACCCAGGGGAGAATCGCGTTTCCCAGGCGGCTCCCAGGACGCCTGTCCGAGGGGTGTGGGGAACTGACCAGCGTCCCAGCCACGTCGGCTCTTCTGAATCAAGCGTTTCTTCCTCCGCACAAGGACGGCTGCCGCGAAGGAGGTCCCTGCTCCGCAGACATGACGGGCAAGCTGGGGGGGGGGGGGGCAAGGCAAGGCAGCCACATTTTTCTGGGTTTGCGGTTTTTTCTGGGTGGTTTTTTTTTTTTTGTTTTTAATGTCTACCACCACCCACTCATTAGTCGCTCTTGCCAATAAGTTGCAAACTTAAGAAATTATTTAATTTCATCATGAATTTGTTCCAAGAAACGGCACCTTCCCACAGACAAATGTGCATCTCCGGGTGGTGGGGGAGGGGTGTTTGCGCCGCCGTGCAGAGCCGAGCGGGTCCTCTCCTGCTGCCACATATGTCCCACGTACTTCTCGTTAAGGCTGTGAATTTAAGGTGGTTTCTGCCTTTTCAAGCATGCATTGCAGTCGCGGCTCAAACGTTATCAGAAGAAATCCATTTTCTTATAAAGCTGAGGCAAATCCTTAACTTCATGTTTGCGTAACAAGGGGAAGCTTATTTTACAAGTTTGCTGCTTGTGGTGTAACCTAGACACCTTCAGTTCTCCCCGTCTGACAGTCTGTAGGGAGAGTTGTTCCTTTACTTGGCCAGGAGGTGACAAAGTGACCACGAGATAGAGCCAAAACGAGGCACTTGCCAGACACCATGTGTCATCTCATTGGATCCCCAAGTCAGCTCAGGCTGGAGCAGTGCAAGCTCTGACGTGACCCGATTCTGTCACACAACCTGAGTTAGGGACCCCGGTGTGACGAGGCCAGAGACGATGACAGCCAGAACGTAGGACGGACACAGCGAGGAGTGACTCGTTCAAATGAAAACCAGCTATTTATTTGAAAGCAATTTGATTACCGATTGAAAAATCTACTTTTCTCCCAGGAGCCACAATGGGGGGGGGTGATTTAAAAAATTAAAAGTAGTAAAAAAACAACATTTACTACAGGATATAAAGTGATTTAATAAAAGAATGGGGATGTTATGTGTAACGTGCACACTGAAATCAGCCGGAGTGAAGAGAACGCTGTTGCATTTCTGACAAGGGGAGGAGAGGGGGTTGAGAAAGTGACAGGGACGATGTGAAAGTCCCGCGTTTGATGTGATGTGACTCAAAATGTTATTTACTGACAGTTTTCTCCAGATGGTAGATTTATGGATTTTCTTCCACCTACTTTTTTCTCTATGTTCTAACAATTAGTAATGAGCTGGCACTAAATGTATAATTTTTAAAATGTACCTTAAAATCATGTCATTCGTTTGGTGAATGAGGTTGCAGCTCTCAGTAAATTAAACCATGAGACGTACAGACGAGTCACACTAGATAGAGTCAGGTCCCCTAAAGACACAGACGTGTCCTATGGCCAGCAGGACCAGTATGTAACCCAGGTAACCGACAGCAGGAAGCTGTCAGCAGGAGTGGGGACAGTGGCCGTGGCCTCCAGGTCACCTGTCACTTCAGGTGGGAAGCTAGTCTCAGAAGGACACGCCCCTTGTGCACAGGAGGAGAGGGCCACTCCTGTCCCTGCCCGCCCGGAAGGAGGCCAGGAGGACGGAAGTGTCAGACCCCGTGACTGCAGGCAGCTTCCCGCCTACTGAGAAGCCAGCACGCGGCCCCCCAGGGGACCCAGGGCTCCCCGGAGAGGACAGCAGTGGGCCAGCCATAGTCAAGTCGTAGCTTCCTCTTCTGAGTCCTGTCTGCCCGTCCCATCTGCCACTCGCCACCAAACTGCCTCCCGTATGCACGGTCCATCCCAGCCCCGGCGAGACAGCATGCAAACCCCACAGCTAGCGCCCCGTGTGTTGCCCCGGGCCTTAAACACAGTCTCCATGACGGTCTGAGGCTGATGTCCTGTCCTCACGGTCCTCAGCCCACTGTCGGGGCCGGTCAGGGTTAACTACACAGTGAGGGGCAGCAAGAGAAAAGCCCCCTTCCAGGGGTGACCACGTTACTGTGTCACGCCCCTCCCAGGAGGAAACAGCCTCAGAACAGCCTCAAAACACCCCAAAAGGGTGTTTCCCAGGAAACACCGTGGCCATTAGCCTTCTGCTTCTGTGCCACAGATCAGGTACGCACACACGCACGAGCAGACACACACATGGCACACACGCCCACCCGGCAGGGCGTCTGTACCTGCAGTGTTAAGAACCTGCCACCACCATGATGCTGACCTTTCCCCGCAGGCTTTCATGTCTGTTAACACGCCAGCCCCTGGCACAGCACAGAGCGGCGCTCAGCGGGGACGCGGGGATCCCCGCTGTCCCGCTCAGCGATTCGAGGGGAAAACACATTCCCCAGGGGCCGCACGTTCAGAAAACTCCTCCAGGGAACGCGAGGGGTGACTTCCATGGGGGATGGGCAGCCCTGCTCACCAGCCGGTTATTTGCGCTCATGTCGTCGGTGATGGAGGGTCTCGCCGGGGCTTATGGTGGAGGCTGCTCAGAACCCACACACTCTGAAAGGTAAGACCCCGCCCACTGACATGAAACATGGAGCCAAGTAAATATGCAGTAAAATAAATGCCATGGAGAAACGGTGAAACCCAGCCAGTCAAGCCCCAAAGCCAGAGAAAGAAGCGACAGGCAGAGTAAATCAGCTGTCCCCAACAAGCCTCTCACTCAGAAACCCCTGCTCCGGCCGGACACTGGCTTCCAGCGAGGGCTGCTCGGGAAAGGACGACAAAGCCAACACTCAGTCCCCAAGCAGTGCAGGCAGCGGGCAGATGCGAGTTCACTAGTGACCCCTAATTGTCACTGTCTGTGACG